GACATTTCTCTAGTTAAAAGGTTAGTATTATTTTTGGAGCAACTTACAAAGTTTCACTACATGGGTATTATTTCCAGCCTTCTCTAGTATACTTATAGCCTATTTTCATGCAACTTATACTAAACAATTTTGAGAAAATATTTAAAAAGCTGTGTGCTTTACTAAATATTTCAATCTGCATGGAAAATATTCTATCAAAACCAAACAAAACTCTTGGGATATCAAGTTTGTATTTGTTATAATATTTAAGCTGCTGTCTGTGAATATGATATACTGCTGATAATTTCACTTACTGATAAAGATTTTGATTTGATTCAGTCAAAATATCATGCATTTGTCTTACAAAAAACATCAGGTAATACCATTTTCTCTCAAACATAGAGTGAGTCTCTCTTGTTAATCATATCCTTTCATGAAAATTCACTTTCTGACGAGTATTTTGATGTTGAAGTTCAAACTCAATTTACTGAAAGTGACATATCAATGCATCTTCAATTAATACTTTACAGGCCAGTAATCATAGTTAATCTTATATCAAAAAGTCTTATTATTTATTTACATGTGTACATAGCCATATACATACATCTCCATTACATGTCATCATATACATTAATAACTTACAACAGATCACCTTTGACTCCCCCACAAATTACTTTGTAATGATCTGTGTTCCTTTCCATAGCTAATACTTAGTCCATTAAATTGCTACTATCCAGGGGTCATCAAATTTAACATGTTGTTCTTTTCAGGCATTGCAAAATTATGTGATATTTTCCATAGAGTTTTCACCACCTACTTAGATCAGGTGAATGCTTCTCACAAATCATCTCTTACATTTCACCTGTTAAAAATCACTCAGTAGCTCAAAAAGCAAAAGTTGCAAAAGCCTTTCAACTCATATTTATCTTCAGTTATGCAAATTGTTGATGTACTAGGTATCACACCTACAGGCACCAGCCATCATAAACTATTATATGATATCCAATTATATCTGATAGAAATTATGATAGGGATTGTTTTCAACCTGAAATGTCTGGTGAACCACAACTTTTCACACAAGATAAAATTAATGATTTGGTGAGAGATTTGGGCATTCCAAAGAATTCTTCAGAGATTTTGCGATCCAGACTTCAAGCTAAGAACTTACTTTCTCCAGGGACCTCATTTTACTGGTACAGAAATCGTGAGAAAGAGGAAATGGAGAGGAAGTATCAGGGAAGGTGGAGCATCAGCATAATTGCTTGTTACTGCTGGTCATTGAAACAAGATGCTCCAGATGTAATACTTAAAAGAAAGACCACAAAATGTAGTTTTGAGACTAAAAGATGTAGATTTCACAAAAGAATCGGGATGAATAAGGATGCATATTCATTTGACATCAGTGTTCTTCCCCTTTTTTCAGTTTGTTTGTATTTTTGTCAACAAACAATAATAAAAAAAACTTTCATTGTGGTAAACTAAATAATAATTTAATCTAAGTAAGAGTTCTTTTTTTCTTCCCAATCTGTAAAAAAATTCTTATGTGATAGAAAAAATTTATATTATTTTCAAAATTTGTATAGCTGAATTATGGAAAATCTGTTATTAAAGCCAAAACAACTTTTAAGAAGTTTAAATTCACAGGTCTGTGTAGTTAAGGGAATTAATAGTGTTGATGCATAATCTTTTTTTATATTTAATTGTGAAAGTGGATGGGGTCTATAAATGCATTAAACAGCACTGATGTATTAGACTTTGTCCATAGTACACCACGTAACTTAAATATTATCACTTTTCTGTTCATGTCTAGTTTATATACATTTGCCAGAACAATATTTGTGTCAAATGGCCCAAATAGTGGTTTTGTTCAGAGCACCTGATATGTTCAGGCCACTTTTGTATAAACCAGAAACTGATCGTTCATTGTACCCCCTCCCTTCCCAAGACATTTGCCAAGCCTAACTCTTCTAGTTTCCTAAAGCTATAGCAGCAGTAATCACTGCCTGTTATTAGTGCTCCTGTACCTGTTGCACTGTTGGTCAAGACTAATAGAATTGTCTACCTTGCTGCTCAGCTAGATATAGGAGTAGATGCTTCATTTTTCTTTTCCAGGAGGGTATCATCCTGACAGAGACATCCATGGCATAGGTTGTGGCATGTAAACAGTGGTAGGACTGGGATAACTCTATTCATTCACTGGATATTAGTGAAGTTGCATCACAATGCCAGAAGGTGTGAGTGGTTGGTTGACTCTTAGCTGGGCTTGAACCTGGCATAATGTGTGTGGCTTGGTAATATGTGGGCTGTCTGCAAAGAAGTCACTGCAGCTGCCAGTACAGGCTTCTTTCTCTTTTAAAACCAGTTTGAAGTAACCATTTTGTACCACATCATGACAGAAACTACTTCAGTAAGGGTGAGAAGATCTCTCATATCCAAGTAATGCCACATCATTTCACATGGTAGTCTTTCCACAAACTTGTTAATGAGGATATCCGCACAATCTGCAGAGGCTATTACAGGATAAGATTTACCTTCTTATCAAAAGAAGTTACATTTGATAAGAAGGTAAATCTTATCCTGTAATAGCCTCTGAAAAGAAGTTACATTTGATAAGAAGGTAAATCTTATCCTGTAATAGCCTCTGAAAAGAAGTTACATTTGATAAGAAGGTAAATCTTATCCTGTAATAGCCTCTGAAAAGAAGTTACATTTCAGAAAATCACTCAAAAAAAACATGTATGTGTGTATATATATATATATATATACAGTACTGTGTACAAGTGTTAGGACAAGAGAATATTCTGTCATTCTTTCCATTTTATGGGGTTAATTCTTCCATGCCATTACAAAATGATTAATTTCAACACTATGGTAATGCTTCACTGATCCCTGTTGACAACTGAATGAGCCAGGGTGAGAATACTTATCATTTTATAGAATTCACATATATTTATACCAAGGGCATGTCATAAGGGTTCTGCTTGAATTAACATACTGATCAAATTTAGGGTCTGAAATAACTGTCATGTTACCCCATGTAGTGTCTTAACTATATAGAAAGAAGCTAGCATATGGTACCGGTATATGCTAGAATAAATGAATTTAATAGCATTCCACAAATAAACCTTGATAAAAACAGTCTTTAACACTATATATTAAGTTTTGTTGTCATGCTACAGCCCAAAAAGTGGAGAGAATTGTCAGTAGAGCAGAGAGTTTGCATAAAAGTTTTACATGATGCTGGTTGAACTCTCCTACAAATTGCTGCAGACTTGAAATGCTCCCCAAACACTGTCAAGTATGCTCTAGATCGTGAGACTGAGACAGGTAAATTTGAAAATAGAGGAAGAGCCAGAACACCTAAACTCAGTGATACTGATGTTAAGTATCTTTGTTTCTGCAGCCTTCAGGACAGAAGGAAGACTGCCACTGATCTGAAGCATGAGATAAACAACCATGTACCAAATGACAGAAAGTGTCCACATCTACAGTATCAAGAAGACTCGACATGAATGGAATATTTGGTCGTGTAGCAGTTAAAAAACTTTTACTTCGATCTCCAAATATTATCAAGAGACT